GCCCTCCCTCGATCCTGCCCCCACTGGTAGCCCTCCCTGATCCTGCCCCCACTGGTAGCGGAAGGTAGCTTATATTTCATAGTATAAGGTTACCTGGAAGGTAACTTATATTTCAAAGTATAAAATCCACGTGATTCAGAATGTTTTTTGGTTTGCCGTCCCGAAATTACATTGTGCATTGGATGCCTTTTAACTGCTTGGGGGCATGGTATATCTATAGTTGGCCTGCCTGCAAATGTATTTGACCCCGACACCAATTTTAAAAAGGTAGCCGCCCCGCTCTAGTGACTTCTGTGACCCGATTCTACGGGGCAAATGGACACAGGGTGGTCAACTATCACTAACAGGTGTACTAAATAATGTGACCGTATGTGAATTTGATGGAGAAACTGAAAAAATAACACGTAATATGATGTGATTACAGTAAAAGATGTTGTGAATTGGTTTGGAAATATGAATATAGATAATCTATAATTACCTTCGCCAAGAAGGTTATGTTTTCAGGGGCGTTCGTGTATGTGTGTGTGTGTCTGTAAACACGATAACTTGAGAAGGCCTTGATGGATTGTCTTGATACTTGGTAGATGGGTAGGTCTTGATGAGACCTCAAAATGATTAGATTTTGGGCCCCCTAGCGGCTTGTCATGGTACTGCAGCTGAACTTCCGGTTTTGATATCTCAAGATCCAGACATGCTATGGTGATGAAATTTGGATGGTAGGTAGCTCTTGTGCTCGGGAAGAAGTGACGTGATTTCAGGCCCCCTAGCGGCTTGCTCTAGAACTGCAGGGGGGGTTTAAAGGACAAATGTTTAAAAGAGGATAACTCAAGAACCGATTGATGGATCATCGTGATTTTTGGTATGTAGGTAGCTTAAATGATGCTTGACATAATGATATTACAATTATGCGAATATTGATGTAATTTGCATAATTAATGAGGAAATTCTATAAATCAGCTGCATTCCATGATAGGAAGTTCAAGCTTGTAACATATGTTATTAAGAACGAGAGAAACACAGGCAAATATTGATTATGCAAATGAAGACTTAATTTGCATAATTAATGAGAAAATGTTATAATTGCGTAGTGGTAACTGCCTGGAATTTCATACTTGGGGTGTTTGAAAGTTAAGTGAAGGTGAACATAATTAAACATAACTTATTCAAATAAGGACCACATTTGCATAATTTATGAGAAAATGGCATTCTTTGTTAAGATAAGACTGTCTTTCGGTGGAGAATATGATCAACAGACTGATATAATTCATGCAATTGAGGATCCTATTTGCATAATCAGGGTGATTAGTATATTTCTTATTCATAAAGGCTAACATCATTTGGCGAAGGTATGAGATCGTGGAACTCTAGTTGTGCAAGTAGCTAAACAGCGGAGTGGAATGATTTTTCATTGTCAAAACATGGAGGTATCAAACAAGAAAAGGTCCTCGGTTTCTTAAAAGCCAACGGAGTCACGCAATAACACATAAAGGTACAACGAGAGTCCATAGGACACAATCCCCTGTGAAGTAATTATAGTGCTAATGTTGGAATGTAGCTAAGGTGTTAGATACCCTCTTTAACTACCGACATGCCTAATTTCAGACATATCCTTTAAAATTGATTTACAGACCAAGACAAAAGTTGTGACAAATTTCCCATATTAGTAAAGAAGGGTACTGTAGCATTTGCTCATGAATGAAGTAAATGAGGCCCTGATTAGCATATGTAATAACTTTACTAACTTTCAAATAGATAGTCCAGACTGCAAACCTTAAGCACCAGAAGGCTTGCTGATTGTTCTATGAATCAAGCAATCGTCGGCAAATAGTCGAACATGTTAGATATTAATATCTACTGAGTTGGGGAGGAGTTAACAAACAGTTTAAGGAGCAGAGGACCTAGCACTGTGCCCTGCGGAACTGCAGAGGTGACTCTACGCAACCTGGTCACCTTCGCCAAAACGTTCTGTTTTCGCGTTGTATGTGTGTATGTGTTTATGATAAACACGTAGCTGCATTGTACATTATGAAGTAATATGCCAAGATTGCCAACTTACCAGAATAACGTTATTTTATCCTCCCTAGCTTGTAGAGAAGTCAGTGCTGATCACGGGGTGTGACACCGGCTTCGGGAACCTCCTGGCCAGGCGGCTGGACCAGCTCGGCCTGCGGGTGTTCGCGGGCTGTCTGACCGAGGCCGGCGTGGCAGAGTTACGGCAGGCCTGCTCCGAACGGCTGCAGCCGATCCAGATGGACGTGAGCAGCTCAGACAGCGTGCAGCAGGCTTTCCTAGTGGTGAAGGATAGCGTGGGGAGCAAAGGTATATGTACAGCGTTATCTGTAATTGTAAATCCATCGTTATCTTCTTGCCCGTTCTTCCTAACTCCGGTCGCTTCACACATTTCTTCATCAGTTGGACCAATAAGATTGTAGTATCTCCTCACTATCATAGTATGGACAGGACAGTATGGTCCAAATGCCGGTACTGTGCAGATCATATCGCAGACGTTCAAATATACTTTTTTCACTCTCAAGCTTTTAACGATTTCAGTGTAAGAATATGGGACATTCCAAAACACTGGAATAAAACTGTTTTGGGCTACTAGTATATTTTGAATATTGTAACTACCATTATAACATCTATCGTTTTCAGGACTTTGTGGCTTGGTGAACAATGCTGGGATACTTGGGCCTTTAGGAAGCGTTGAATGGCCTTCCATAGCAGATTACCAGGTAAGATGTCAATGTATGGTAGCATGTAACCCGACACCAAAGGGTGTCTGCTACAGCACCAGTTACCATAGACTGACGTCTGGTCCAGGTCTTTGACCTTTTGTGTTTGGAAAAGAAGAAGAGGAAGAAACGGAACAAAAAGTATTCCTTCTGCGAAGGTAAATATAACTGTGCATCTCGATCACATTGCGCCATACTCACATATTCGTCTTCAACAGGCTGTTTTGAATGTCAATCTACTGGGTCTGATCGACGTCACCAAAACCTTCCTGCCTCTGTTGAAGAAGTCACGTGGTCGTGTCGTCAACGTCGCTAGTGCTGCCGGGAGGACTGCTGTCCCGTTTCAGGGTCCATACACAGTGTCCAAATATGGTGTAGAAGGCTTTTCAGACATCCTCAGGTTGGTATTTCAGAGTACCTCCAAGAAAAATGGAGGCATTGTTTCTCTCACCATTGCCTTACGAGTTTCGTAGTTTAAAGTCTATCAAAGTTGACAAGAACCGCTGGCGATCTTAGAATATAATGTTTACGTTATGTCGTTTGTGTCATATGTCATGCCTTGTGTTATATTGTGTTAATATATGTAAACAGTTTTAAGAAAGGAAGTAGTAATATGCATGTATAGAAGGATTGATAAAATAATTTCTCTATTATATATTTAATTCAAATAATATTTCATCGTATTTGCTCGCCTAATATTTCTGTATCATCAATTATACAGACGGGGCATGAGATGCTTTGGGATAACTGTACACGTCATCGAACCCGGGAAGTTCAGCACAGGGATAACTGTGAAGGAAACGATCAGGAGGAGCATATACGGCTGTTTTGAGTCGCTGTCTCCAGAAACCAAGGAGGAATACGGACTGGAGTACGTCGAAGAAAGTGCGTATTGCTTTTTTTTTACTTGTCAGTATCAGTGTATCTGTACCAGTATCTGATAACTCATTGCAGCAAGTTGTAGGGGTTATCAAGCGGGAGGGGGGGTCCATTCAAGATGGTGTCAAAATAGATTCAACTGCACCAAACTCCAAACTACAGTGCCTTTCTGCCAACAATATTGATGATATGATACTGCTTGTGTACCAGAAAAACGCACCAAAATGCACCAAACAGCTACTCTACTCCAAGCAGCAACCATGGGAAAGTGACGAAAGTATTTCATATTGTGTTATGATAATTGCCAACAAATATCCGTCTTTGATAGACACATTTCTGACAGTTATTCCCTCTATTAATAAATGATGCACAGTACGTGAGGGATTCAGCGAAGGAGGAGACGATGACCCAATCGCCGTTGTCATGGCAATGGAGCATGCGCTGTGTGCTGCCCATCCCAAGAGCCGTTACGTGGTTGGTCAGGGGACACGGTATGCATGGGTACCGATCTCCTGGCTGCCCACTGATCTGGGTGACTACTTCGCACGAGTGGTGGCACCATGGATGACCCCTGTCCCTGCCGCATGCAAAGGGAGGAAATAGAAGCATCTGGGCCCATCACCCTTCACTCAACCGCGACGGGGGCCGACATTGTCTATCAGATACATTTGACCCAGTGTTGAAGTCTCACTTCAAAGAAGCCACGTGACAAACCCCACTGGGTCAATCTACTGAGGAAGACCAGAGTGACTGGTCGAAAGGTTTGTGTTGGATCAAAAGTTTAAACTTTAAACACGGTATTGAATATTATTGGAATAACAGAGGGCAATGTTTTAGGAGGTGACTGCTGACCAGTATCTATATCAACAGCAGCATAACTGATGTAAAAGTTATGAATTAATTTTCATCTTGAAATTCACTTTAATAAGTCCTCCGAAACAGGGTCATGGAGGCAGTCTTATCGTGTATCTACTTAGCGAGTTCATTTGTTTAATCTTATATGAAATGTTATTTTAAGCTCATAACTCGTTAGAATTAACTGTCACCTAATGTATTTTAGTGTTAAAGTTACCCAGGACAAATATTGATAAGTATATATCAAGGTTTGTTGCTCTCTAAATATCTTTTATTACCGGATAGATATTAAATGTGAATGTTGTTAATAAGAAAGCATACCACTATTATGACTTTATGAGACAACGTTCAATATAGGGATGATAAGTTTTTTGAAATATTAAATTTCTAAAAACAGTAAACTACCGTATCCTAACTGATCATATGGCTTTTGTTGTTTTTTTGGTGTTCATACACTGTTCATCGTACAATTGTACTCAGAAAACGAGTTGTAAGCTTAGTTGCTGGCTTTGTTCAGTAGCTAGCTACAAAGGTGAAAGGTCGTACTATTTTGTATACCGCGCCATAGACCTCTGAAGGTCGCCCATTATGCTAGACTACTGTGCTGTGCGACCACAGTGGTATGTTGCCTCGAGGCTAGAAACTGTGCACCGAGACAGTTCAAGATGGAGGTACTGTTAGGGTTGGGACTGTTGGCTGTAGTGTGGGGGCTGTACACCGCATGGACCTGGTGGAAACAGAAAGAAATTCTGCCAAGGGTATGTACGACATTTAAAGTGTAGAAATATAGATCGATAATTTGTATGGCGGTGTCAGAGAGGTTGGTACAACACAAAAGAAGATATCTGATAGCTGGCTGGAAAAATGTGGCGAGACTGGCTAGGACTATCATGTGTCACTAACTGTGACCTTTATGTGACTTTGGCAGGTAAACTTCAACACATGTGAAATAATATGTCACACTTTGGCGGAAAAAGATCATGTGAAAGGGGGAAGTCAGGGAAATCTGAATCGTGATATAGGAATATACTAAACATCTGAACGATATACCCTGGCAGCGTACAGTGTCATGCATACGTATGCCTCCAAAGAGATCTGCCTGTAGATTAAGCAAACTTAACTTGATACCTTCGACAGAAGGTTATGTTTTCAGTAGCCAAGTCTGTGTGTATGTGTGCCGCTTAACACGATAACACGTGGCTGCGGTTACGCCATTAGCCTGGATGCCAGACCCAAAGCACACTGGACACAAAATATCTCAGTGTGCACACTGAGATATTTTGTGTCCAGTGTGCTTTGGGTCTGGCATCCAGGCTATTACGCCATGTACATGTATATACATTATAATTATGTAGTCATATGCCACCCTATAGATAGATATAACAGAATAACGTAATTTTTATCGCCTCTAGCTTGTAGAGAAGTCAGTGCTGATCACAGGGTGTGACACCGGCTTCGGGAACCTCCTGGCCAGGCGGCTGGACCAGCTCGGCCTGCGGGTGTTCGCGGGCTGTCTGACCGAGGCCGGCGTGGCAGAGTTACGGCAGGACTGCTCCGAACGCCTGCAGCCGATCCAGATGGACGTGAGCAGCTCAGACAGCGTGCGGCAGGCTTTCCTAGTGGTGAAGGATAGCGTGGGGAGCAAAGGTATATGTGCAGCGTTACCTGTGATTGTAACCAAACCTTCTGTGTAAATGCTATCTTCTTGCCTGTCCTCAACTCAGATTGCTTCACACATTTCTTCATCAGTTGCAGATGGACCAATCAACTCCTCATTATCATAGTATGCCCCATATATATATACCGGTACTGTGCATATCATATCCCATAGCTAGGTTCAAATATATATTTTTTCACTCTCCAGCTTTTATTTGTGTTATCAAAGATTTCAGCGCATATGGGACATTTTGAAACACTGGTATGAAAGCTGCTTTGGGCTATATTTGAGTATTTGCAAAAATTTATGTGCAAGTATCTATCGTTTTCAGGACTTTGGGGCTTGGTGAACAATGCTGGGATACTTGGGCCGTTAGGAAGCGTTGAATGGCCTTCCATAGCAGATTACCAGGTAAGATGTCAATGTAACCCAACACAACAGGGTGTCTGCTACAGCACCAGTTACCATGGTAACAGACGTCTGGTCCAGGTCATTGACCCATATGTGTTTGGAGAGGAAGAAGAAGAAGAAACGGAACAAAAGCAATATATTTTCCTTCTGCGAAGGTAAACATAAATATGTGCATCTCGATCACATTGCGCCATACTCCTTACACGTCTTCAACAGGCTGTTTTGAATGTCAATCTACTGGGTCTGATCGACGTCACCAAAACCTTCCTGCCCCTGTTGAAGAAGTCACGTGGTCGTGTCGTCAACGTCGCTAGTGCTGCCGGGAGGACTGCTGTCCCATTTCAGGGTCCATACACAGTGTCCAAATATGGTGTGGAGGGCTTTTCAGACATCCTCAGGTTGGTATTTCCTAGAGTATTTACCACCATGAAAAATGGAGGCGTTGTTTTTGTCTTTGTCTGTGTGTGTGTCTGTGTTTCCGCATGACCCTTCGGTCAGGTTGCAACAGACATGGTTGGGTTCAGTCTGTCACACTGTTGTTTTTCGTTTATTATAATAACAACTTGCTTCCCTTGCGCAATAAAAAAACCAAGGTGAATCAGAGGAGGACACAGTCACCATCACTCAAGATCTAAATATTTCATGGAGTTCTGAGACCTCCAACTTCTTGTTCTGTATTTGTTAATTGTACAGACGGGGCATGAGATGCTTTGGGATAACTGTGCACGTCATCGAACCTGGGAAGTTCAGCACAGGGATAACTGTGAAGGAAACGATCAGGAGGAGCATATACGGCTGTTTTGAGACGCTGTCTCCAGAAACCAGGGAGGAATACGGACTGGAGTACGTCGAAGAAAGTGCGTTTTGCTTTTTTACTTGTCAGTATCAGGGTATTTGTATCGGTTTTCGATAACTCATTGCAGCCAGCGCTGCAAGGGCTATCATTGGGAGGGGGTACTTGGACCCATCGCAGCATCCTCTGCAGCACACATTCCACAATACACATTCAAGATGGTTGACTGTAAGCTATTAATACAAGTATATAGACTTGTCGTGTTGCCTTTGACTTGCAGCAACTGATACAATTTGATTAGTATAGTTTCTTTTCTTGAATTGTCAAGAGGCGAAAGTAGTCCACAAAGTGCCTGACTTTTGTATCTAATCTGTAACTTTTGAAATAATGTGATAAACAATGGCGGACAATGATGAAAGTATTCACTTCAAATATGGTGTCTTTCCAAACTTCAGTACCTTTCTGCCAACACTATTGACTGATGATATGATACTGCTTGTGCATCAGAAAAACCAAAATGCACCAAAAAACACCCATGGGAAGTAAAGAAAATGACATATGTTTTATAATAACTTTGCCAACAAATACAAATAGCCGTCTTTGATTGACACATGTCTTACAGTCATTCCCTGTATTGATAAATGATCACAGTACGTGAGGGATTCATCAAAGGAGACGCTGACCCGATCGCCGTTGTCATGGAAATGGAGCATGCGCTGTGTGCTGTCCATCCCAAGAGCCGTTACGTGGTTGGTCAGGGTGTACGGTATGCATGGATATCGATCTCTTGGCTGCCCACTGATCTGGGTGACTACTTCGCACGAGTGGTGGCACCATGGATGACCCCTGTCCCTGCCGCATGCAAAGGGAGGAAATAGAGGCATCTGGGCCCATCACCCTTCACTCAACCGCGACGGGGGCCGACATCGTCTATATCAGAAGACAGATACATTTGACCCAGTGTTGACGTCTCACTTCAAAGAAGCCACGCGGCAAGCCCCACTGGGTCAATCTACTGAGGAAGACCAGAGTGATTGGTCGAAAGCTCTAGGTGGAACCTATTTTTGTGTTGGATCAAAAGTTTAAACTTTAAACACGGTATTGAATATTATTGGAATCACAGAGGGCAATGTTTTTGGAGGTGATTTGTGGTATCTTAATGAACAGCATAACTGATATAAAAGTTATGAATTGATTTTCATCTTTAGATGATCCAGAATTTATTTCAAGGAGGACCTGCAGCTCGTTAAAGAGGAAGTCTTATCACGTATTTAACCTAGGAATCTTTGAACGAGATCATTTGTTTAAGAAAGTACATTTTAACTGATAACTCGTTAGAATTAACTCTCACCTCGTATTTTAGTGTCAAAATTATTCAGGATAAATGTTGAATATGTGTAACTACATGTATCTATGTATCTTCACGTTTTTTTGCTCTCCTAAATGGGTTTTATCAGGCTTGTTAACATATTCTGTTATTACCGGATAAATGTTGAATGTGAATGGGATGACTAACCTGTTTCCTTTTTATTGAAATAAACCAGTTATTCTTTTATTCAAGTTTTCCGTTTTATTGCGATTTTCCTTTTTATTGAAATAAACGTTATTCATTTATTCAAGTTTTCTTGTACATACTTGCAAGAGGAACCAGTTTACATTTATTGTTGCTACCAGCTTATATAGAGATACAGAAGATAAGAGAGGTTACAGAGATATATAGAGAAGATAATAAAGTTCATATAGATACAGATTTTCATAGCATGGCTGTTACTATTATTATTTTATTAGCATTTTAATCATTATCATCTTTTACGGTTTATCATTTTGTCATGTTCTTGCAATTAGCCTTCGGACATGAATTTGCAATAATCTTTCACTATTTCTAAGCTACACTGAGCACGACGTAAAATGCCGTAATTATAAAACGGCGTAAAACGTTTACGTCTCCTATCTGCAAGCAGCAGGAACGGGAGTCATCCATGGTAGCAACAGTCGCATGACGAAGTCTTCCAAATCAGTCGGTAGATACGTCAGCGGGATGGCGACCCACCGCGCACCCCAGTCTACCTCGTACCGGCTTCTGGGACAGGCAGCACACAGCGCATGCTCCATTGCCATGGCAACGATGGCCGGGTCTTTGTAACGACCATCATTGAATCCTTTAAGAACTGCGGTAAGGTAGAATAGTTATTATGATTATCAGATAATTCTAAGTTCAAATTGCTATGGATACAGTTTGGCTAAGCTGTTGTGCGTGTCCAGTATGTTGTAGAAAATATCTTTTATGGCGTAGAGTTCGTAAAACAGCAGAAACCACTTCAGAAACACACCACTCTACGCTACTGAATTGTAGTGATCTGAATAAAGCTTAAGCTTGCTAATTGCACCCACAATAAATCCCGATGGATTCAGAAGCACCCCCTTGTGCAAATTGATAAAACTACACATTTTCATGGCCGCACCTGAACAATTGCTCCTAGCGTCCTACCAATTATATTCTTTTGCAATTCAGATCCCTGATGCAATGCAGAGAAGTCGAAGCCCAACGCAGCTACAAAAAAGAAACAAATTCAAGGGGTAAGGCTCACTCACGTTCATCCATGTAGTCCTGCCCATACTCCTCTTTAGTTTCAGACGACAGGGAGTCCCACGTGCGATGCAAACTCTTCCTAATATTGTCCTCCTGCACAATCGATGTGCTGAATTTTTCTGGTTCAATGATGTGCACGCTTATCCCAAAACACCTTATGCCCCGTCTGTTAAATGTTAAAATATTAGCCAATGAAAATTTCTATATACAATAAGTATGTCTAGCAGATACGTTTTCTAAAAAAATGTAAGGATGTTGCAAACGATTGTAAGTAATGAGAGGAATTATTATTTATAATTAGCCAGATGACGTTTACCAATCAGACGTTCCCATTTCGTATTGATTATGACGTCATAACCTTACCAGTGGTGATTAAATCCAATAAACACCGTGGTGTTTAAATCCCATAAACATCGCGACCAATCAGCGTCGACCGTTTCGTTTGAATTACTAGTACGTCAGACAGAGGGTCCTTGGGGGAACTCAACTGTGTTATTCTAGTAGTCACACACAATATTATAAAGATAAACAAACAAGCACCTGAGGGCGTCTGAAAAGCCTTCCACGCCATATTTAGACACGGCGTACGGAGTTGTACAAGGAGCTGACAGCCTCCCGCCAACACTTGAGACGTTGACGACACGACCAGGTGACTTCTTCAAGAGGGGCAGGAAAGTTTTGGTGACGTCAATCATTCCCAGTAGATTGACATCCAAAACAGCCTTTGATAGAAGTTTAAAAAGAACTAATTAAAATATCCATACTATGTGCCAGCAAGCGTTTTGGAATGACATGTTAACGGGATTTATAACCGGTTGCTAGCTATAGGAAGTCTGACAACATTTCAACCATCCCTTAACCGAGACGGGGGCCGATACCGACTGCTGTTGCTGACGTCACACTTCCATTCAGGTCACATTTCAACTTGAGAAGGATCAAAGGACTGGTAGAAACTTGCTGGTAAGCGCCTAATTTTGTGTACGGAAATTTCGTATAAAATCTTTATAAAATATTTCACCTGGTAATCTGCTATAGAAGGCCACTCAACGCTTCCAATTGGTCCAAAGATCCCTGCATTGTTCACCAAACCCCAAAGTCCTGAAGGAGATGATGATATAATTATACACATTTCAATTGTATTTTTGTATGTATGGTGCTTGCCATTTTTATTTTGTTTTACAATCTGAACAATCTATATTTCAGACAGCGATTGGATGTCTTTAGTTTCTAAGTATTTTAATTTCCATATAGAATACAGCATAGAGAAGTTATTAATCATGGGTAAATTTACAAACCAGGAATGTTTGTAACGGACACAGATATCTCCGATTCACCCCCCACCCCATACCTTTGCTCTCCACGCTATCCTTCACCACTAGGAAAGCCTGCCGCACGCTGTCTGAGCTGCTCACGTCCATCTGAATCGGCTGCAGCCGTTCGGAGCAGGCCTGCCGTAACTCTGCCACGCCGGCCTCGGTCAGACAGCCCGCGAACACCCGCAGGCCGAGCTGGTCCAGCCGCCTGGCCAGGAGGTTCCCGAAGCCGGTGTCACACCCCGTGATCAGAACTGACTTCTCTACAAGCTAGAGGCGATGAAAATAACGTTATTCTAATAGCGTCGCAAATCATAGTAAATTTATGGTGCTTTCATGAGATGTGACCAGCCGACATGCTGATAATATCGTTTGGGAGCAAGGAAATCTATACATTTGCACGTGTATAATCACAAAGTCTGGTTGGGGGAGACTGTCACAATGACATAACAGGAGCCAATTTTCCTCAAACAGAAAAAGCTTGCGTGAATCGTGATATGGTGGTTTATAGGTCGTTTTGTGTGTATATTTAAGATTGTATTATTTAAATGTGTAATGTTGTATGGGTTCCTACACCGAAATAAAGAATAAATCTAAAGAAAAATGGCTTTGCTCCCAAAGCTTCTCAAGTACAATTTTGCCCATGGACAACCTTTGAGGGAAAGCTGCTATGTTATTGTGGTCTCTCCCAACCAAATGTTACACATGACCTTTGTACCTAGCTACAAATAGGTACCGAGCACGTTAATGGCTTTATTCTACCCAGCTTTGAGAAACGATCCATATAAAATTCAACGACCCAGCAAGCTGTCACTTCTAATACGCTAGCCAAACCTCTCCAATACATCCCAAGCCTGATACTCCATACACCCCACAACATTTCCCAAGCGAGCAAGCAGATGGTATCTTCTACCAAAAATATTTCATGTCGTGAGGACCTCTCTGACACCGCTATTCAAATTCATCGTCCATCTTTCAACACTATAAGTTGTTCACGTACCCTTGGAAGCATTTCTTTCTCTCTCCACCACGTCCAGACACTGTACACAGTCCACAGTACAGCCAGCAGCCCCAACAGTGTCAGAACCTCCATCTTACCTCAGCGTTTATATGTAGATTATTGTTTACAGTCACGTAGTCCAGCGAGAACAACAAAATTTAAACCATACAGATCTGTCGTCTCCTACGTTTCCATAGCCGCAGACATTTAACCCTTGTCCTGCTGGGCCCATATATGGGTTGCGCACAAACAGTGCTCTCGTATATTTACGGGTTGGGAGTATTTCTCACATGAACGCATCGAACCGCAGCGAATGCGGAAGTAACTATGCCGTGACAGCAGTGCAGAAAAATTGTGCAACAAAACTCACGTAAAAATGTCCAGCAGCACAAGCTTAACTAGTAATAGCTTTCAGATGAGATACAATGCTTGCATTGTAGATACCGTTCTTGGTAACCGTGTAGATGTGTAAGTACTTTACGTTTGGGAACGCATCTATAGCAGTGACACCTGTGCTGTGCAACGTGAACCAGTCTAGTCAGAATATCTATTGCCCTGAGGAAGGTGACAGACGGTGACCGACACATCGGCTGAATAAAACACTCGGTTGTGTAAAAAAGACTATAAGAGTCTCTTTATTCAAGGTACAAAATATTATTGTAAACATGGTGCACAAGTCTGCTGTATGTATATGTATATGTACTGTGACCATACATGCTGAGCTGGTAAATGACCTTTGTGTTTTGTAATTGGTGACTAATTAGGCGACCAAACATTAACAAGTGTGTAGATCAACAACCTATCGCTTGGAGGCGCTCGTACACATACACGAAAAGAGAAGATTTTAAAGGGCCATTCGAAGACTTCCATTCTGTTATATCATATCATATATGTGGCATATAATGGAGTTACTGAAACACACGTTTAAGAGTTTGCTGTTCAAATATGAATGAAACCACAAACTACACAGATGTTCTGGTGTGTCTGGAATGTAATAAAAATATCTTTCAAATAAAGTCATTCAGTGTTCATTGGAATTTCCTTGCTTGAAATCTTTTGATGTAACAGTAGTGGGGTGAGATAAAGATATGCTCTCAAGAATTAATCAAGTCCACCGGGTTATATTAACTGACATATCTCTTTCCCCAAATGTTGAGTGCTAGACAGAGAAAGCAGTATGTACCATTTTTAAAGTCGTCTTTGGTATGACTCAGCCGGGGATATCGAACTCACGACCTCCCGAAGGCGAGGCCACATGGCCATTGCACCGGTCTCATAACAGGTGGAACAAAAGAAGAAGAAAAACATATATCTTAAGCTTCGGCCACCCCCATTTCAGCGGTTTAAGTGGAGTAAGTTTAAACACACACTTGTTGACACCTGCGTAGTTAGGCGTCACGGAGCGCGCTAGTTTGCGGAAAGGTATTTGCGTCCCGACATGGACATGGTTGCTCGGCTAGCGCCAACACTAACACTGTGCATGAGAGCAGACTACCCCTGCTTGTCCATTCGGCAAACTGCTGGCTAAGAAGGTCGACGTCTCGAGAAAACATATACAGTTATAAGTAAAGATTTTACTTTCCTCCAAATGGTCAGATCGGCTTGAGAGGATTTATGGACGAGAGTTAAAATGGCGGAGCATTCTCGTGACCAGGGGCCAGTTGATCATGATGAGGGGAACAAGGCTGCAGGAAGAGTGGAAACTCAGGAGCAAGACAATAACGGTAAGATTTTTTTGTTTGTTGTTGCTGTTATTTTTCGACAAGCGTTTGCTCCCATTTATTTTTACACAAACTTTGAATTATAAATGACATTAGTTATACATGACATTAGTTTTTACAAATAAAAGTCCTGCAACAGTGTAATTTGCAAAGAAAAGCACATGCATGTACTAGCTATAGCGACCGTCTCTTTATAGGGAGGACCTGAAAATTGTGGTCACGTACTGTTGGATGTTCCTTTGGAACAATAAACAAAGTATCAAGATTTTTTTAAACTGGTCGCCAAAGGCAGGCTTAGCTGGATCATGGAGGTAAAAATCACATTTTAATTTGATTTTTTACCTCCATCGCTGGATATAGAATTGATTACTTATGGACTTAAACTGTAAGAATATTTTTGATATAAATATATTTGATTGAACGAAAAGCCCTAAGTAGCACTTTAATGACATTGTTTCCTTGATATAGTTAGGTAACTCAAACAATTAGGTACAGAAACTTGAAACTAGATGAGACTTGTCGAAAATTCCTTTCGTCAGCGTCAAGATAGCGCGCGCGAGCACCCTCTTCACCTCCAGAATCCCAAATCCTATCAGGAGAAAACTAAAATGTACAGTATGTACCAGTACATTATCGAGCAAAACTTGAACAAGATTTAGTGTGTGAAATGTAGACACAGCCTTTCACAAACACGGTGTTGATAGGTGTGGTGTTGCACTCATGACAACACTCATAGCGGGCTATACAAGGGTATCAATCGACCTTGAAGTACAAAGTAATGTTGATGTACACATAGCACACAGCAGATGACATATACATGTGTACGTGTTCGGTAAGAGATGAATGATGATGGTTGAATTCCTCGGTGCAGTGGCGTAGACAGCTGGGTCATGCATCGCGTGTGTTTTGACCGTTAGAATAAAACCTACCAAATTTCCCAAGAAAGCAAGTGATAGATTGGCATGGCCAAGAAGTATAGAAATGATACCACGAAATTGTTATTGCACCTTTCTCAAATTGTTCAAATTTTCAGATTTCTGTCCTGAAGATGACAATCAATTCAAATTCTGACACACAACACCCCCCTCCCCCTTCTTCCGGGGCATGCGTGCTGGTGGTGTTCAGGTCATATCAACCAATGAATAGGTCATCTGAAGGACAAACATGTCTGTCGGGCTTTAAAATCCCAGTAAGGGCATCCTGGCGTAACTCTTACAACAGTTTGAGTCAAAACGGTTGATTTGTGATGACACGTACATGGGTTTTGTGTCCAATAGGCAAAGAGGTTGACGAGAGATTTAAACCTCCTGTTGTAAGACATTGGCTGGAGATGTTGGGCTAAACGAGGGGTGGGGTTTACAGACATGCAGACAAAAAGTATCTAAATGTTTCTAAAGATTAGATAAAATTCTAATTTCTGGCCATAGAAACCATATAACGCTGTTACGAAGTTAACCCTTAGAGTTCACACCAACATTAGCATAGTGTTAAAAGATACATGACCTTAGTTTTGACCTTTGTAAACTAACGCAATTTTCTGAATGATTTGCAGACCAGTCCGTAGACATAGACGATGTTTACAGTCGGCTGCAGGGATTGGTGCACCGGACCGAGGCTGTGGTTGACAGGTTATCCGACCTGGATACAGACATGGTTACCAAGGCAACGGAGATGGTAACTGTAGTAAGGTGATGATTGGCTGATTCGTAACCGTTATGTGTTTTAGATTTTAAGAAGAACAACGGAGATGGTAACTGTAGTAAGGTGATGATTGGCTTATTCGTAACCGTTATGTGTTTTAAATTTTAAGAAGAACAACGGAGATGGTAACTGTAGTAAGGTGATGACTGGCTGATTCGTAACCGTTATGTGTTTTAAATTTTAAGACAACTATAGAGAAGGTAATACTCTTCTCATATTGCATTACGTTTGACAATTCGTTTCAGGAGACGACATTACAGTGATGACGACATCCCCGACTTGTTCCGATCTCTCACGAAAGTTACCGACGCTGGGGATGATGAGAGCAGGAGGAACTCGCTACTTCGCTCCTACTCATTAAACGAAGAAGATTTAGGTAAGATTGGAGAACCAAAAACACACTCATCAACAGAGATGTCAAGCTGAATTGTCAAGCGAAACTGCCGCCCTTCCAGAAATGCGGTTGCACTCCCCCAAAATAAACATTTTCGCATTTCTAACTAAGGAAAGTTATGATCATTCAAAGGATAGAACATATAATATATACTACAAATATAAGCACCACATGTATATATATTAGGCCACTTTTGGATAGTTTAGAAAGTATAATTCAGCCGATGCCTAAACTTAAATAACTGTTGGATCCAACTTTACATTTTGCTATCATTTTCAGTTTCAGTAGACTCGATCAAGTTGGAGTACAAGAGGAACAGCTTAGTGCCAGATCCGAACTTCGGTGCTAGCCGGAAGCTTTTAACCCAGGAAACCCCGTCTGTTGGTAAGGCCCTGACATCTTAAATTTTGTCTCTGTGCTAAAAATAACACCACAAAGGAGTCAATCACTGAAACGTGGGCATTCCTACTGCAAAAATACAAGCAAAAAAAAAAAACTATTTTCGTTTTTGCTGTACGCAATGACTGCAACTGCTATACCGTGCAAATCATCTTCCTACATGTACCTTTAGAAGTAGGCTAGTCATATCTAACACCTGAAACAAACCTTATGAGTCTAGTTAGAAGACTAAGTTTTACAGAGTCACAACAGAGTCCACAAGTTGTGTTGGCTAGGATATGTGTTCTAGGCTGATGTCATCCATTAAATCCTATTTGCGAGAATAAAGTTGTTTTTTTTTACATAGATGAGATGACAGGTTTGTCAACGAAGCCCTACCGAGACAAATCGGAACTGCAGCTGCAGTCCCGCATGGACAGGAAAAACAACCGACTGTGGTTCCAAAACAGGATGGGTGACGTCATACTGCTGGAAGAACACGACATGAAGGAGGTCTTTGAAACGAAGCTTTAGACGTCATAGAAATGTGTGCACTGATGTCAGAATATGCAGGGCATGTGCTATATTGTAACTCAACATATCATAGCGTATACATGGAAAATAGTTTATCAAGGGACATGTTTTACTTGGATCTGAAAAGCAAGATATCATATGTAAATATTGTACTCTATTAGCCTATTGCAATGTGTAAATAATTGGTTGTTTCAGAAAGAAGTAAAATACATATATAGAAAATAGTAACCACTGTACAAAAGTTTCGAAACACTTGCATGTTAAACAAACGTTAGTAATAAAGAAACAAAATAATGAGCTTTGTAATCGGACAGCTATTTTAATTATCTAAAAATAAGTTCGTTGTTGTTTTCATTGTTAGTTGGGCGTTTCAGTGGTCTGTTTGCCTTGATGCTCTCAAATGTTACGTTTGTCAGAAAATAATAGAACAAATGTGTGTAAGCTAGACTTAAAGTGACTTAGAAAGATGTGACATTCCAGAAAATGACAGGGAAATCATTCAAGCAACGACCTCGTACGAGGGATGAGGAAACTGCAGCAGACGTCTAAATTTAATTTACTGCAAATAATTCTCCCTACAAGGGCACGTTGTCATATACCACGACCTGAACATGTTTGCAAACCGTGCGTAACCGCCAAAATGTCCAGGAATGCCACTGCTCTTGGTAGTGTAGTCTGCCATGTCGACTAAACACATGTGGCAAACATACGATACACACTTGTCCCGGCTTCAGGCACAAGGTCACAGAGTCGTAAATTAGAACCGCCTCCCCAAATGCCTTGCCACGTGCGGTCAGTGAACCCTAAAGGACACGTTTGTTCAATTAATTTTCTTTTCTTTGAATGGTACAGGAACTTGGCTTTATGCGTGACATTAACTTGAGCCTGTTCCAAAAGAGAGAATTTCCCGTTTCTGAACGATATATATGGTTTGTTATTCTAACCTTCACTTGGCAATTGATATCAGGTGCGTACTAAGAAAAATCAGGAACGTATTTTCAAGGAATAAATGGTTATGCATTTACTTGGAACGTAACATCACTACTGTTTCTGGTCGTGACACTTGTCTTAACTTCCCTTTAGTGTCTATGAAGCGATGAGAATAAATGTAGCTTTGGCAAGGAAGCTCAGAAATAGCCCCCCTTCCCCTTTATGGCTGACTTAAGCCCTTAGCGCCTTCCTATGGTTATTCAAGTTGTCTCGTTAAAGCCTACGCAGCACTACTTCACAGACTGTTTTGCGTATTGCCATAACCTTGCGGGAGGAAATATCAGAAGGTCTGCAGCGAATTGTTTGTTGTTACTGGCTCCATCCTTTCCTTCCCGGGGCTTGAGAAAAATCTTTCGCCGTGTAGGAGACTGTCAAAGTAAATACTAAAGCAAGAACTTCCCGACATCCCGACCGGACAAGATCTTTGATGATAAAACAGATGAAAGACAGGATAAAAGTTCGCTTTTCCTTGTAACGGGAATCTGCAGTTTTCCCTTAGGTCTGAGAGAAACTTTGATCTGAATCTAAAGGGTCAGAACAGTAGCTCAGAGAACTGTCAGACGGATACGGTTGATGTTATGGGCCAAATACGATCTCTTGTACTCATACAAAGCATGTCAGACATTGGCGAAACCCGTACACAGTCGTTATCACAGAAAATAGTTTGTCATTGACGAATTCAGCATGGTAATATTCCTTCCACGCAAGTTTGCAAGATAGAAAACCGGTATTTGAGAAAAATACCGTCACAGTCAAGATTTAACTTCTACTTTTCTGTCATGATAATACTACAGACACGTCGAGCCAAACACCTGAATGACAAGGTATACTCGGAGTCTGTGACACTATTTGGCGGGAAGAATTTTGTCATGACATATGCCAAAGTCAGCATTTCGCGCCGTCCGGTGGTGTACGCGTATCGACCAATCAAAGACGTGAATCTGCCGGTTAATCATTTCTGTTTCCCGCCTTTTGATGTTTGGTGGTGTATTCTTTGATACGAGTTTAGGCGAAAACAGACATAGAATTGCCGTACTGTGACTGTTATAAAATAACAGAAAATATTGCACTATAATCATTCTGTCAATAGTACAAATTTTCCCCTTATTGAGAGGAATATAGTACAAAATATTTTGTTACTAACAGGGTAAGTCTGTCAATAGTGCCCTTTCAGTATTAGCAGGAAAAAAACTAGCTGGTTTCTTTGCTTTCTTTATTTCGCCACCGCAAAACGTTTAATGTCGTAAAGCCCATCAAACATCACGACAGTCGAGTTTCCCGCATAGCAACAGCAACTGTGAGCAACTGTCACGTCCAATACTGTATACAGTGCAGAGTCGGCGAAAATTTAAACGCGTAGGAAGCCCGAATGATCGTTTTCACATGGCCCCGGTCTCGTCTGGGTCTGTGGTGTCGTACCGTCCGCCTCTGTCTACATAAACAGGCCTTCTGGGAGCACTATTCCACGGGTGTTTCATGGCGTTTGAGCCAAGTTTGGGTTAATTGGGCCCTGATGTTGCGAATTACAGAGAACGCTCGAGTTCAGATGATGTCAAGGCTGATCTAATTTCTGCGGCAGAACTCGAAGCCTTGGGGGCAAAATGATAGAGTATCAGAAACGTTTCTGGACAGGCTACTCATTTATCAATGTATTAATCAACGAAAGACCGCAGTATGTGGGAGACATTGACTCGAGAACAGTTGCCAAATGCCCTTATAGATCACCACTACACTTCCCTGTGGTGCTTGTCTGATCGCTTTCTGTGAGCAGGCGATATCAGAAAGACTCTAGTTGGATTATGTACCTCATCCATGTACAACCAACGGTGGTCTCCGTTGTAATATCGTACACTGAAGCGACTGGTTCAAAACCTTCGAATTTCATGCTTATACAGATGGAATCGGTAGAGGTCGCTTCGTCTGAAATGCCATTTCTCAGCTCTTCAATATGGTTTTGATCGAGCTGGCTACTCGAGAAACGGTTCTCTTCACAATAACAACCATGCATTATCAATGGTCTCTATCGTATTCTGACGTGTGGCATTTTGTGTGTTGTGTTCCAGGACTGTCCGCAACACCGACGTTTGCCCTGGGTTATTTGTCATTCAAAGGATACCGATGGGGGGAAAAAGCACAAGAAAAACAACATCTTTCAGACAATTGGACATAGCTTTTACGTCCTTTTCCCATCGATATAAAATTAGTTTGGTTGTCAACCATTGTGATTTAGATACAAACATTCAAAACTAGAAAGGTGACATTTGCAAAGCAAAGGCATAATGGTCTAGTGTTTTGTCACTCAAACACCTTACTAAATGGCCCTAAATGATATATGGCGGGAAGTGCCTTCAACTCTGCTCTGCTACAAAATGTAACCCAACACCACACGGTGTCTGCTACAACACCAGTTACCATGGTAACAGACGACGTCTGGTCCATGTCATTGACTTTAGTTGTTTGGAGAATAAGATGAAGAATGAGAGGAAGAAGAGACTGATCAAAAACAATGTTTTCCTTCTGCGAAAGTAAACATTGACATACGCGACCCTCCACAGGCATGACAGAGAGCAACTTTCAAAATTCTTCTTCCACATGCACCAACAAGTCACTTTGTTATGCACACTGCGCACTACACTAGAAAACTGGAAGTCAGGGCCGAAGTCTCGTTTCATTTCCTCCAGCCGGTTGGATTGCTTGGTCGGAAGAAGTGACCCGTTGCTGCCCTTTCCGAGACTAAATGAAATCGGCATGTTGTCCGTTATCCACAAGTCTCCGTGTTAATAAGGGCAGACAGGGTTACTGAATCAACTAGGGGTCATTGACCCGCACGTTCTGTTGAGACAGATGTCCAAGGAACGGGCAATCCTACATTTCCGAAGAAGTAGTGATCAGTAGTCAGTGACACTACCATATCCGTGTATCTTGCATAAGAGTCATAGTCATTTGACACCCATTTCTTTCAATCATTTTAGAAGTCTGTCATAGCACCTTCAAATCATTGATCAACTTGTTGCAATTGAAATTGAATTTTTATAAGCATCCTAAGTTTGTTTGTACATACTTTTGACCGTTTTCCCATACATCAATTTAAATCAGTCCAAGCGCTGCTTTACGACATCTACACCTGAAGATTCCCAAACATGGGCATGGGTTTCATTTGAAGAGCCCGGTTAGGCGATGTTTACGATTGGGTTAGCCTGGACGCCAGACTCCGACACAAAACTCCCTTCGGCTTGGAGAAGCCCCAAGCCCGATCCCAGAGTTAGCATCGATCTACGGGTCTAATTTATCTCGATCTGTGGGGGTGTCTATGGTAAATTTTTCGTAGACGGGGAACTAGCCTGTATACTGCCCTTGGCAATAGTCTGACACTCAGGTTATGATTCATTCAATGGGTCTTCGAACCATGCATACTTGTCCATACAACATCGGTGAAACTGGACTCCCGCGTACTAGCATGGCTAGTAACTGGTACGAAGAATCTCAAGTTCAACTTGAACTTGAGCGAGAAAACATAGATTTCTAGACTTGAACTGTTCAAGTCTAGAAAGGTTTAGAAAAGTTCACAATTTCAGTTTCATTAGTCTCGCCCGGCTGAGTCTCACCTCCGAGTGCGACCCAGATTCCAGATGCAAGACGTACAAACAACACAGTAGGCTGTTCTAGTAACTTTCTCAGATTCTTATCGCTACAAAATCTGTCATTTGCAAAGACAAATGATCACTTTTAGGCACTGAGCTGGATGTTACGACAAACATATGGCTATGCCAAAAGATGTTTATTTTTAAAGCTTGAGGATTATACTGAAAAGGGGAGCATGCTCCTTAATTCTACAGTTCTTCATATTATGGGTCCATTCCTTTTCACATAAGTCTATTCTCCACTTTTCGATTAGCAAAGTTTGTGTTTGTGATTCAAAACCTTGCAGCTGCAAAAACCTGCCGTTTCAGACTGATTTTATCAGTGATCGCCTCGCCAACAAACCGGTTCCATGACTCTCTCCTGTTTCCTGCTGCGGTAATCAAGATTCCTTATCTTGGACATTTTTTGCAAATTCTATAAATAGAACTTAATGAATAAGGTATGTGTAGCTATTTTTTTACATCGGTGAAGTAGCTTGTAAAGAGACTGTATATACGAGAGTGTATGACATTATTAGGACACCAATGTCGTTGATGTTGGAGCAAATACATTCAAGCTGTGAATATGTTTAAGCTGTAACAAAATGCCGGAAGAGAAGTTGTCACAATAGATTATGTCTGATATGTCCAGACTTTCGCACCCGAGTAAATAAAGCTTACAGGTACATATAGCTATCAGACTTTCGACATCAAGCTAGCAGTTGGTCAAAAGTATCAATATCATATATCAGCAGTATGTCAAGCCATTAATTTGACCATGGCGAATGCCGTTGCAGCGAGTTTTCTTTCCCAATGGAAAGAGAATCTAATTGATAATTTCTAGTAGAACTATGGCATCTGAAAGTACTATAATTGACCTTGGATTGCATAATTGACCTAGGATTGCAAAGTGTCTGGAAAGCAAGCAGCTATTTTGCATAACATGATCAGATTTCTGTCAGAAGAGGTTCGTCTAACTTCTAACTAGATTCCTATGTACTACACCTGCTCACTGGAACATCTCAGGCGAACTTCCAGTAGTTAGCGTCTTATTATATCCGCATCACCAAAGTTGACATTCATCACGTATACAATTGTTTCATTTTGTAGTTCAATACAAGGTTGCAAATAATACACAACTTTACACATTTTACACAAATTGATACTGATGTGGGTGAATAAATTATTTTTGTTTTAAATAAGACCTGGAATGCTTTGTAAGCCACAGGAGCACTGTCGAGACGTTCAGCAACATGT